AAAAGATATACATGCAAAAAAAAAAAAAAAAAAAATAAATATTAAGAAAGAATAAAAAGAAATTGTATATTAATAGAAACCTTGAATACTTTAGGTTTAATTTTTCTTAATTTTAATAATAATGAATACTTTTCTTTTTTTTTTTTTTTTTTCTTAAATTATAAACCTACCAATTTAAATATATTTAAAAATGAATATATAAATATATAAATAAATATATATATATATATAATGTATAAATATATAGAATTTTATTCTATTAAATTATATTTATATATGCATATAAATAAATATATATATTTATATATAAATATATATTATTTCTTTTTTCTTATTCTTGTTCTTTAATTACAACTAGTAATGCGTTGCTTTTGCATCACATGTGAACCTTCTTATAAAAGTTTCAAAATACAATATTATGAATAATGCAAACATATATAAAAACATACATATAGATAATTATGTATATGAATTTGTATATAAATACATTTAACAAAAAATATCATAAAAAAAAAAAAAAATTGTATGTACAGATGAACTACTTATTCATCTNTTTTTTTTTTTTTTTTTTTTTTTTTTTTAAATAAGTCACTTTTTTATTCTAAAGTAATTATCATTAAAAAAATGTATCTCAACTAAAAAAAAAAAAAAAAAGAAAAAACATAAAAGAAAAATATTTCTTATTAAAAGTTTTCATATGTAATTATATTTCATTTCCTTTTTAATATTAAAAAGTATAATATATATATATATATATGTTGTAAAACAGAAACTAATAAAAAAAAAATTTATTAAATTATTTAGAGCACATTATCATCTAAATATATAAATAAAACTAAGGAAAAAATTGTATTTTCATAATTTAATAAGATTTGACATGCAACAAAAATATAAAAATTTAATTTATCATTAGTGAAAAAAAAAAAAAAAAAATAACTTTAAAATAAAATAGATCAATCTTTGTGCAATATGGGTTAGATAAAATATTACTACGTTGCCAATTTATGTAACTATATAATATTCAAAGTAAATTATGATTATTTCTATAAAATTATATATATTATTTTTTAATGTATTATTTTTCAATAGGAATAAAATATATAAAATTAAAAATTTATTAAATAGAAAGAAAAAAGAAAAAATAATTTTTTATATGTAAGAATTTTATAGTCAAAATTTTATTATATTTTAAAGAATATGTCTAAATTTAGCTAAAACTTTTATTCTACATACATATATATCACTCATTTATATATAAATATATATAAATATAAATATATACATATATATATATATAAATATAAATATATATATTAATATAAATATAAATATATATATATATATATATATAATATAAATATATATATATATACATGCATATAGATGTATGTTTACTTATTTATAGTAAATATATTTTTTTTTTTTTTTTCTTTTTTTTTTTTCTTTTTTTTTGTATATATAAAATTATTTAATCTAATATATTAATATAAAAAAAAAAAAAAAGATATAAATACTAATTAAATAAAAACGAAATATTTATATATAATT